CGAAGACACAAGCCTGAAAGTTTGCACACGACTGTCTAATCGGGCACCGTGACACTGCTGCCCGAAAGAACGAGGCGAATCTGAGAAGGTCAGACGGGAGCGTTTTCTGAAGCCCGGTGATCGGAGGCGGAGTGACCCCAGGGGAGGGTGGAACCGAATGGGAGTAGGAGAGAGTAGAGGCGCTGGGGGGCAGTCGGAGCTGGGGTCAGGACAGGGCCGCCGGGTCCCCCAGTGTGAGAGTCTGGGGTGTGTCTGGGGGGAGTCTGCACGGCCTCCCCGAGTTCTGTGTGTGTTCTCAACTGGTCGATCCGCTGGTCCGGTCTGACGGGGGCTGCTTCGGAAGGATCTCCTGTTCCCCCCCGGTCGCCGCAGCCGGTCGGGAACTCAGCGTTATTTCTCTCACGCCTGTGACCCGAACCCGAGGCGTGACGTTAAGTGCTGTTGATGCGATACGCGGGGTGACCTTGGATCTCCGCGGGGGCGACGTCGTGCGCACAGGAAAAAAAACAAACAAACAAACAAACAAACAAGCCCCGACACTTTTAAAAAAGGCCGCGCCTCGGCCAGGACGAGGCTGCCGTGAACCCAAGTGGTCCCGTTGGGATTTTCAGGGACTTCAGCGTCCGTCCCGTTGGGAAAACTCAGCCCGGGATCACAGGACGGGAGGCTTGCGTGCGTCCGGGTCTCGCCCTTCGCTCTGCGGGGTATTTCCAGGGACAGTCCACCTGCTTGCGTTCTGTCAGCTAGACTGTAGAAACAACAGCGGACAGAAAAATGGGCCCTAGCTCTGAGATTGAGACTCACAGGCGGGATCCACGGCCCTTCCTCGTTTCCCCTGCCCCTCCCTCCTCTCCCCACCAGGGGGAGCCATGGAGCAGGAGAGGGAGAGGGCTGTGGGGGTGTCGGGGTCCGATCAGTAGGACAGAGTCCCTCATGATGTCAGGTGTGTCTCTCCAGGGCCGGAGCTCAAGGGGGTAGATCAGAGACAAAAGGTTGTTCACCTTCATAAATCAGGCAATGGGTATAAAAAAGACAGCTTCACACCTGAAAATACCAGTAATTAAGTTTG